TGCTCGATGCTGTAGCCAAGAATTTGAGGATGCACTGCAACAGCTTTGGCAACTTGACTCTTGCTCAAGCCTAGGTCTAGAAGCCACTGCACTGTCGGCTTCAAGTTTCGCTCGATGCTCAGGCCAAGAATTGGAGGAACCACTGCAACTGCTTTAGCAACTTGACTTTTGCTCAATCCCAAGTCCCACAGCCAATGCAACTTGGGCTTTAGCTGGTGTTCAATCGAGGGCTTCTTTGCCAATGCATGCTGTTGCATCAGCTCAATATCAGTTTCGTTGAATCCATCCTGGACCAAAAATGCAGAAATCTCATCTGTGGTGTTGCCACCTCGTGCAGTCATTGCAGCGTTTGTGACAAGTTGGGCAGCATGAGATAATCGAACCGTGTCCTTTCGCATATGCAACTGCCATCGCCTTAAAAGCCTCTGATGTAGAACCTCTTCAAGTTTGGCAGTTGTCTGCACCAAAACGTTGTTCAAAGCCCTCGAAAGCGACTTGTGATCACCTTCTTGCCACGTGTCCACACAAATCCATAGAACTTTGTCGTCAAATGGTTCACTTACAGTGTGGCTGATCCGAAGCACATACGATCCAGGAGGTGCAAAAGCCAGCAACGCAGCATTTTTCAGGCGGTCCATGTTCATGCCTTTCGCTTCCGCATGTCGCCAGTAGCCATCGTACTCCACGAAGAACGCGGCTTGCGGATCCTTCAGCACTCCGAATGCTGCCAAGTCCGGCTCTAGGTAGTTTCCAGCCCAGTTGCTTGGCGAAGGGAAGCTCCGGAAGAGTTCCTCGAAAAAGATTCGGAAGCTGGTCCCGGACAAGCAGAATTTAATTCGGATTGTTGCAAGTCGAACTGGTTCTGTCACTGTCACCTTACTTAAGTGGAACTTCCACAGCCAGAAAACGGTGTTCTTTGGAACTGCATTTACTCTGCCCAACCCATGTTACTCAATGAGTTCATCCGGTCGTTTGAGGGTAAGCCCACATGCCAAGAAAAGGTCCCTTTGAAGAATATGGAGGAATACGGCATACCTTGGAATATGGTGGAATCATTTGGAACCAACCAGGCACCCTTTTACCCCCAAGTCTCCGTGATGGGCGTCTGCGGCATCAACAGCTCCGCCAAGGGCGCCAGCAGCTCCGCTTCCGCCACGCTGCCCGGCCGCCGCCGCGGCCAACCCGTCACCCACCAGGCTGGGGCGGACGAACGGCCGGAGAAACTCCGGTGGAAGCGGCGCAAAAGGTCTCTCATGGGCGTGTGAAATGACATGAAGATGATGGAAGATGCGAAACTTTTTTGGGGTTCAAAAGCGCTGAACATGATGGAATATCGCTGGAAATATCGGGTGGTCTCTCTTCGAAGCCTGAGCACCAGTCAGTAGATGGGTTCGGTTGACCGCTACAGCCACAAGAATTGAAGATGGAGGTGGGTCAGACCTTAACCATGCAATTCGGTCGAGCAGCGGGCACGGAAACCGATTCTGTGCATGTGTCAGAGGCTGGAGAGATGTGCATGAAGCTTATTACCTCATTCATTGAAGTTGAAAGATTGTTCCTCCCGACTGCCATGTAATTACAGGATTTGTCTCCAACTGAATCAGCAAATCAATCATCCAATGCCTATTTGCCTGCTTCCATGGCTCGTTGATCACAGCGACCAAATGGAGCAAGAAAAATTAGTCTCTTTATTTATGTAGAGCACTAAAATTGCGCCTTGAGGTAGAGCCATGGGAGAACTTGTTGTTGCAATGGAGGCATTTCTTTGATGGCTCCAAAAACCCACAAATGTCCTTCCCTAAATCTCAACCCATGGCCAAGCTGAGGCACCAAACAGGGATAGGAATGAACACCACTGCAGGACCAGAGATGGCTCACAAACACCAAAAAACAAATGGTTTGGTGAGGTTTTGGCTCGCCCAGCTCACGGCCAAAGGTGCAGGACCTTTTTCCTCGCAAGCGCCTGCATGGCCAAGCACTGCCGGGCCGCAGGGGCAAAAACTAAATTTGCAGTAAGTACATGTCTCAGAAAAGGTAGATCGCACACTCCCCAAGTTTTGGGTGAACATCTGAACATCTTGGGAAGATCCACTCAAGGTGAGCCAAAGGCCCTTAAACCAAAACCCCCCTACGATGTGCTCCGGTTGGAAAATTCCTTCATATTCCTGAACATGAGAACCACGTGATGCAAAACCAAAGACCTTCAGAGACCTTCAGACTGGGGTGCCGACAGCTTCCACTGGGGGATCCTTGCTCTCAGGCTACACAGCGCTGTGGGTCATTCATCCTCGCGTAGTTCGAGTAGTTTCATTCTTGATCTTAGTTGGCGTTCCGAAGGGCTAAGGCAGCCAAGACTGAAACATCTTATGATCCATAGAGTACTCCATGTATGTAATGCATGCCTACATTGACACCTTTTCAACCACCCCAATGTAGGCATATATGGTACAGAGTACAGGAGCAGCTACCAGAGCCAACCCTCTTGTATCAACCCCCACACAACCACTGGCCGGAGGCTCACAAACATGAGTGTCACCTGTTCTGGGGTTTCACCAACGGGCTTCTACTTCATCTACGTGTCACAGCAAACATAAACAGTACCGTCGCAGTTGTTGTGCCAATGCGGTTTTCCCTCACCAATGTGGCTTTAGGTGAGGCGCTGACTGAGAGAGAGAGAGAAAGAATATACCTCAAAAGTACGGATTCGTAAGCACCGTCTACTGTTTAGGTCTATATAGGTGTGTTGCTCTTGTGTCTGTGGAATGTGTGATGCTCTTTGCCGCAGAAACTGTGTGGTTTCGAGGAACTGCTTGACATCGACCCATTGCGTAGTTAGGCGTAGTTGAACAAAGGAGTCCTTTGCACTCAAACCCACAGTTCTTTGCAGGCACCCAGCCCAATCATTTGTGATATGGTTTACTAAGCAAGTAAGGGAATCCAGGATCCGCATAGCCCTCCGTGAGGAGATCTCTTGAGTCAGGCCTATCGTCATTTCACTTGCAGGTGCCCAAACCGGACCAGGACCTTTTTGCTTGGCGAGTCGGTTGGTCACAGCCGAGCAGTGCACGCTGGGCAGAATTCTACACAGATCCTGCTCGGCATCGGCAAAAGGACTGCAAAATCAGAGGAAAACTGCCAAACAGCTGCAGCAGGATTTCTTGAAGGAAGGACTGTCCCTGGAGAAAACTAGTACACTATGCAACTCACGAGTTGAGTTAAAATCACTTCCCACTCGATCCTGCCGCAGCTTGTTGCAAGGCTCGCGCCCGCCATCATTGGTGAAGCATCTGCTGGCCCAATCAGCCTGGCAATCTGACCCGGCTCATTTTACAGCGGAGGAACTGTCAGTCGATGGACCAGTTTTCTCCCTTGAAGGAACACTTCTCTGCAAAAGTTGGAGTCAGCTCTACAGAAAAATACTTTCATAATTAGTGTTCATGTCATTTCAGATGCTCTTGTCACCTCTATGGCGAGGCCACCGCTCACAGCAGCATGAGCAAGATAAAGGGAAGAAGCCTTTGGCATCTTTCGAAGCTGCCCAATCGAACTTCCTGAATTCATTCGAGGTGGACAAGCCTCTACTTCTATTCCTGTCTTCGTTGAAGGGCGGCGGGAAAGAAACCATGGCAAACCGATCACACGCCATATCAGATCAGGCACTATGCAACTTATTGATTGAAACGTCCCAGAACTCATCCACCGATAACATGTGTGTGGTTTCTCTGTCAAACAGCGGCCACACGCTGATTGTTAACTCCCAAAAAATGGCGATGCAGCGAAAAGCCAAAAGCGCCCCGTGCCTGCCAACGCTGTTCACCACCTCCTCCGCGACGTCCGGGCGCTTTCTCCGCGACGCGGAGCTTTTTCGGCGCCTGCGCCGGTGACAGAACTGTGGGGGGGCCGGCGAGCCAGCGAGCGGATCAAAGCACGCGCCCCCACCGCTTAAACAAAAAAGAAAGAGCGAAGTCAGTGTTTTGCTACTCAGCCCATCGATTGAAGCGTCATGAACCGACTGAAAGGCGTCTAAGCTTTCCGTGGTTCGGTGGACCGGGCCACCTAGGCGATGAGAGTCTTGACGAAGAAGACGCCCCAGTTTGCCAGGATGATCACCGCAATCACCACGATCTGTGGCCGCGAGGTCAAACGTGTCTCATTGTTCTTTCGGGCAAGTCATGGCTGTGTGTTGGAGTCTTTATTCCTCATCCATCCTCATCCCCTTTTCAAGCTAACTTGTGTGTATATTATGTGTTGGTGTGGGTGTCATGTCGTGCTTCTTCCCCCCCACGCCGGCACCACTCGTCGCCGGCACG